CACGCTCAACGCGTTTGTGTTTCTGGGAAAATGTTCTTGTTCGGCAACAGCCGGTCCATTTGAATAATTGTAACCCGTAAACGGTGTGTGTCATTCCTATCGCTGAATCGATTATTATTTCGGTTCCGTTGCAAAGGAACGTTAAACTCGTTGTCGACCACCGAGCTATATTTCTCGATTTTATGACAAACAATGTACGGGACGTTAAGGACTTTCCGCGGCAACGTCGTGAAAAGCGAAGAGTTCAGAGTTTTAAGTAGTACGACTCAACGATGTCGACCACCTTCGTGCAAAAGTAAGGAAACCGTTTAACAACCGCATGCGGTCGATCGAAATTACTTATTTCTTCCTTGATTATTTAAATTAACATTTGTTACAAGAAAAGAAAAGGGAGTGGACGTTTATCGTTGCATCGGCGCTAGTCGTCCGCGGGCCAGGAAATCAAAATCTCCGGAACTTTTTAGCGTTCCGGGCTGAGAATTAATTCGCGTTCGGCGAGGGTACACCCGAGCATTTTTGCGAGTCGACCGTAAAAAGTGTCGGTCATTAGGAGCAGCGAAAACGCGAACTTCCGGAAATTGTGCCAGCTTTTGCCGTTTCCGTTGCTGTCGGCGAAAGAAACTCTTCCTGCATTTTATGAAGGTCTGACAAAAATTGCTTGCTCGGCGACGGAAAGTGTATCGGCCTTAATGGTTCTAACATAAAAAATAGAAAGCTCGTATAAACGCAGGAGCATTCTGGCGAGTCGAGACGCGTACACGTAGAGAGGATCGCTTCTTGCGATCCTGTTTCGTTGTCGCCCGTCAGCCGGTACACGATCTATAACCTGGCAAAGCTCGAGGGAGAGTCACCCCCGTAAATCCAGCTACCGCTCTAAATTAAGCCCTGCCTCGACGGCTAAAAACGACGCGAGGCCTTATAAAAAAAAAAAGGGAAAAAACACGCAACGTTGAGAAACCAACGGCAGACGTTAATTTTATTATCGCGCCGTTTATATCCTGTTTCCTTTTTCAGCCCGTGGACGCGAACCCTCGTTCTCCGCGTCGTTTTAATTACCCTGGATCCTTTGGTGTTGCGCGGTTACCGGAAGGTTTATTCGCCTTGAGCGTCGTTGCTTCGATTGGTTAGCCTTTGGAGTTTAGTGGCTTCGATCGATCACCGTTTCGGGTTCTTTTAATCGAAGCTTGCGCAACTTTAAAACAGTACAGACGTAAAATTCTAAATTCTAGGAGATAAACTTCTTTCTTTTTTACGTTCGCGTTTCTTCTCCTCGAAGGGACCGGCTGTTCCAGTTCGGTCGTTGGCCGTTTAAAAGCTTTTTTCATCGAACCGTGCAAGTTTAGCGCAGTTCCAGAGATTAAGATTACGAATTCGAGGAGATGGACTTCTTACTTTTACCGAGACGATAGTTTGTTTTACATCCCCTTCTTTCGTGCAAAAGGATCCGAATTCGGTCGCTGACTGTTCGGGGCTTACAACTTCGAAGCAGTTACGGAGAATATAATTCTGAATTGCAGGAAATAAAGCTTAGCTTTGTTGCACGTTTACGGAAGAAGTAATTTGACTGAATAGATTGACGGAGTTCTGTCTTTGGCCGTTTGTCGCGGTTGGTTAGTCCATCGCTTATTTTACGTTTCTTTTCTACGAGGGGAACATTTTGTCGGAGTCTGACGAGTGCGAGCTACGATACTTCGTAGTTGTTTCGAATCGAAGTTAACACTCTCGAACAAGTTTGTTCTTTTACCTTGCAAAAAAGCGATTTATTTTATCCCCTGTTTCTCTTTCTCGTTAAGAGGACACGAGGTTTATTTTCTTTCCAGCATTTTGGCGAACGGATACGCGTAGCGTAACGAATCAGAGAGCCGGCCCAATTAATGCGCAGCCTGAACGCGTGTATAAAAGCTTAGTTAGTGGCTGTACGTGGCACGAGATTCGATTAGCCCAGTTGCAACGCTCGAGCTGCGTCGGAACACTGAACGATGACGACTTGCATTCATAGCTCGCGTTCTGTCCACGTCTCCTTTCAATAAATTCACCTAAACTTTCCATAAATTTAATACGCCGAGTGATCAGCGACTGCTGACTAACGTCTCTTCTCTTGCCGCAGCGCGGTACAACTTTTCCATTATTAGCAGAATAGGCAGAGCGTTTTGAAAGGATAAAAAAGCCGATCGTATGAAATAATTGGAAAGACAAGTGTCACGATTTGTCTACGATCGATCGAGAGAGGCACCATCGGCGAGAAAAAATAAAAATCCAGCTATCGCGTTGAAAAATGTGACACTCGGTTCGACCACGAGATCGCGAAGATTTCGCGATACCGTTACCGATCGATAGCTCGAAATTTCCGCGTCGTTACATTCCGTTCCTCGCCGGCCACGATTAAAATCAAACAGTAGCATGTCCGATAATCGATAAAGCGATTCGCAGCCTGCCGCTGGGATGTCAAAGAAAGTGGATTTTTCGCGAATACGTGGAGCGATCGAAGTTCCATCGCGAATTCCAGAGTTCCCCGAGCGAATTACATTCAAAATTGCTTTGGAAGACAATTAACCGGTGCCGTTCGTGACAAAAGTTTCGCGAGAAACTTGGCGAACTGTGACGAATTAACCGGCAACCTCGTTCGCGTTTATCCTGCACCGTTCTCCGTGAAATTCCCGTAAGTAAAATATATCTATCGAGTTCCGGTCTCGTATCAAACCGCGTTCAACCTCCCCAGAGGTCGACGTAGCTCGATAAAACTCGAAAAGTGTGGTTCGAAATGGCTCGATATAAGGAAGACACGGTGAAGGGATGGCGGAGAAGGATGTGCAACGAAAGGGATTCTTGGAAAAAGCTGGGATCAACGGAATTCCAGCGTAATTAACTCGAGCGGAGAGTAGAAACCGTTAGGGGACGAAGGGGATTGATAATGACCACGGGGGTCGCTTTATCTACGTTTGGTCGACCCTAAGCAGTCTCGATAAGGTGTCCCGCGAGGTCTAGCTTCCGCTTCGACTATCTTGGCTCCGCGCCATTTCTCATTTTTCAATATGGTAACCTGCCCGATCAAACTTTTTCTAAGGGAACTTATCGACTGTCACGGAGTAGTTCATAAAAAAACAGCGTAGCTCGTCGTTTCGTTCTTTATAATCCAATGAAATTTTCCGTTTAATTATGACCGGATTAAATCGATGGCTGTTAACGGAGCGAATAAAACGATTCGATCGAACGATCGGAGTAATGGTTGGCAACGCGCAACTGCAGACGGGTGAATTATTTTTGGGCCGTCGATGAAAAATGCTCGATCGGCGTTTTCCATTCGGTAACACGTGTTACGTTGCAATTAGCGTCGTATCGTGGACACGGAAAATGCAAATGACTACGAGGGAATCAATAAATCGGTGCATTTCGACGCATTAACCAAACAGGCGGAAACGTTGACGCGTCACGCGTGTTTGGCATGCGGTGTTAAAACAGAAGCGTGCAGTTATAGTCGGCGACGAATCGCGAGGGAAAATTTGTAAATTTGCATCGGTTCTGTAAACGCCGCGTACACGTTTCGGTGACCAGATACGTTTTCAAAGAAAAACCTGACCGCGTCTGATGGAACACGATCGCGTGCTATATACGGTATTTAAACGAAATCAATTCGACTTTTCATAATATTTTGGAGCTTCTAATAATTAAAATAAACCGATACGTTTGAAAGCAATTTGGTTTCGTTCGTTTTTCTCGAGTGGCTAGTTAAATCGTCGTTGCCAATTAACGCATTGAAAATGAATAGCTCGAATATCGTATTTCGAGTAAAATAACACGATTCGATACGCAGAAGACAATTATATAGTTTAATTTGCAGATATATGGAAACAGTTTGAATAATGATCAATAAAGCATTGCGCGTTGTTTGCTCCTGTTTGCGAGTCAACCAGTTAATCGACGAATTACATAAAAAGATGTATTCATTATTGGCATGCAAATGAAATTTATACATGTACGATCCGCGTCAGATCAGGAAATAAATATTCCCAGAATACGGACGGTTTCGTTGATGCCGGCCGTAAAATTACAATCGATACCTGCCGTTGAAATTGCACGTCCGCAAGAACGCGTCCGCTCGTATTTACAATTTTACGGTATCGATCCTTTAACTGCGAATCCGCGTCATTATGCTTTGGCTAACGCGCGAAATTATACCGGCACCGGTGTCGCCTTTTATTTCCTGATCGACGTCAAAACGAGCTTTGTTCGATAACTTCGCAACTGCGTCGACAATGCGTTTCGTAAATGACCGATTAACAAATTCAAATACTCTATACTCGACCGAATACGCCATACAGTTAACGCTAGAATTATGTAAGAGCACGACACGTGGCGGAGGTATAGCCGATACGGGGAACATTATTGGATTTGTTAATATTCGGAATCGAGTAAGGAACGTCGGGACGCGTAAATCCCCGGATAATATTGAGAAAAGTAGCTTTTCCAGGCGTATAGGTACACTGATAATGGCCGCAGGTAGGTCAGCAACGAAGCGATAAAAGTTCCTCGAGAGGTTCTCTCTCTCTTCCCTTACCTTTCAGCGACACAACAATGCCGTTCAAGCCCTCTTTTATGGGCGGTTACGCTCTTCTACACGGCTAGTAAATGACTTCGTCTGGCAACCAACTTACGCCTTACTATGTACCGTGATTCGCTTGAAAAGTCTCGACGTCAAAGCGTTATGAGGTACAGACAAGCACGTGTCTCGTGTGCACGTACCAGGTGTCTCGTGTACACGAAAACCTCGACGAGTGATGTTTCGCGCGCGGCAAAATTAATGGTTGTTGCGTCTTTCGCGACAGATTTCGTCGATCAAGAAACAGCGAACGAGGACGCGAAACGTGCGACTAAGAAATTATGCAAGTAGTAGCGGTCTGTAGTCAGACATAAGAAATCCCGATAACTATTTTAAGTTTGAATAACTGTTTGCGGCAGAAAATGAACGTTGAGGGATGCTTATGATTACAGGGGTGGACAAGGCGTACGATGCTTAGGGATGCTTGGTCGAACGACGGTGGGAAAGGCTGGTGGCGATGGTGGTCTAGGTTGGGCGGATTGCTGGCGATGGCGACGGCCATTTCCTGTCTTGTTGCCCCGTTTCCGGGTGCCTCGGCCAATCCGGAAGCGAAGCGTCTCTACGATGACCTGCTGTCGAACTACAACCGCCTCATCCGCCCTGTTGGCAACAACAGCGATCGCCTCACTGTCAAAATGGGACTACGCCTCTCCCAGCTCATCGACGTTGTGAGTACATTCTCGATCCATTGATTCTAGTTAACGAATAGCGTTTAGAAACTACTCTGCTCTATCCTTCCGGTCCTGGAATCGCGACGAAACGATTCGAAATTGCGACAGTTTCTACCAGAGAGCGTAGAACGTCGATGAATCGCGTAGAAGAAAAATTGAAGCTCGAAATTTCGGAAAGCCGTGTTTTTATCGTTCCGCGGCGTTCGCCGGTCGAAAACGCGTGGAATTTCGGTAATTTTCGAGCGTTAAAGCGAATCCTTCGGCATCGGTGGATGAGAAATTCGGCGCGTTCGCGCAGAGTACCCTCGGCTAACTGAGAATTCGTTCGAAATCGACGGGCAAACACCACGAATAGCGCAGTCGGTCTCGATACAGCGCGCATACGTTCGTCCACGTACTTGCGGTGATAAGTTGAATTCCCGGAGTTTCTGGCTGGAACCGGAACTAATTTACAACCGAGTTGATCCATAGCACTTCGGCCATTAATTGCCATAATCTGATCGCAAGCAATCAATCGTGTCTCGGCGAGGTTTGCCAGGGACCTGTACGGCTACCTATACACTCGAGGTCATCTCCTCCGACGGATCAATGTGCTACAATTACGCGATTGTCTATCCCTCCCTTGTCCCATCGTCCACCTCCTCCCCTCTCGTGGGCTCCTCTTTGCCGGTACCCGCATTGTCTCCTTGGTTATTACATTCGTGTTACATGCTTATAGAGACTGCCACGAATTTCGGCTGTAATTACCTCGATCACGGATGTCTATAGACTAAATACGTGTTCTCTCTATTCCACCTCCTCCTATATCCGACTATAAATTAATTTGTTATCGGCTGGTCGCTCGACCGATTCACCGTTCGGAGAGCATTATCAACGAAATATCAACGCCGTAATTCCTGGCGGGACGGTGCGCGCTCATTCGCTTCGTTCGCGTTCGAAATTCACGGAATTTTAATCCTATCGAATTCTTTTTCCCGAAAAACGGCTGAGAATTAAAATTGCTGGTGAAACGACGCGGAATATTCGAAACGTTCAAAAATTCGATTTTGTCCAGACCCCGAGGATTTTACGAATTATTGTCAATTAAAAGTTCGTATCTAGACGAATTAAAAGGAAGTCGGCGAAACGTCGACAATTATTTTCTTCTCTCTCGTCCGTCGCAATCGAGTCCATTACAGAGACGCGCGTAAATTGTAGAACGTATCGCGAAACAAGGTTCTTTGTGTCGCGAAATATATGCGTTTCTGTCCTGCGGAGCAGAAATTTGTTTACGGCTCGAACACTTTCGTCCGGCCCGGGTGATTTAGGCTCTGCTCGCGTAACGTCCGTTGTCGGGTCGCGTTTACTCGTAAGTAGAAGCAGCCAGCAAAATGCAGACTGGCTGAGAGTCATTGAAATCCGGCTGTTTCCGCTGTCGCTGGAAACTCGAAGAGTCTGTGAGATTGTTTCGCGCGGGTCCACGGACGCGCACACGTTCCCGCCCGGTAATTACAGTTACACGGAGAACTCGCGGCAACTTTCTGCTCGACGCGTGTCGAATCGTAAATCGTGAACGTCATCGCCAGGTTGCGAGTGTTTACGAGCGCTCCGAATAATTTCTAGCCGATTGTCGCCAGCGAAAAGTTTGCCCGGGCCAAAGGATCCGACATGATCGTCGTTATATTAATCGTTCGTAGTTGGGAAAGTATGATTTACGCGTTAAAAACGTGTCGGGTCAATTACGATCCTGTCAAGCACCGTAACGAACTTTTCGTTCGAATTTTCGAAACGATGGAACTTGGCGAGCAAAGTTTTCGTTAACGCCGTAAACTAAGAATCCATCGAATCATCGAACGCGATCACGGCTCGCATTCCTCGCCGGTGATCCACCGGAAGAAGCAAAAAGGTGTTGCATTCTCGAGCTAACGACCGATAAATTCCGTGTACAAGGAAAACCCATTTGGACCACTATGGAACGATTAAAATAACTGGAACGCCGGCGATGCTCGTGACTGCTCAGCATTCGTCTTCTCTTCGCTTTTAGAAAGTCTAACCGAAGCGGAAAGCATCCTATTCCTCGACTCGTGATTCGAAGCTCGCCGTTCCGTTCGATCAGGGTTTCCGATCGCCGCGTATCCGCGATCGATTCTCGACGATCGATGCGCTCGACCGACGATCCTCTTGTCACGCAACAGCCAACGCCCACTTTTCACCGGTGACGAAGTCTCGCTCGTGAATCCGATCAATAATCGCTAGCTAGCCAACGACCGATTGTTCGTTCGGTGTAAGTGGATGCACGAAGGTACCGGAAGCGCGAAAGCGGCACCTCGGCTTTCCTTTCGTTGTCGAGTACACTTCGAAACAATGAAGGTGTTGGCTGCTTGGCTGGGTATTCTCCGGTTAAACAGACACTCGGACGGAAGCTCTTTTGGAGCTGATTTTCGCTCTGTCTTAGGGTACGTTTAGACAACCTACGGCCACGAAAACGCTCGTTGAGCGGCTCTTTTGTCGGTCCGTTGTAGTAGAAGCGGGAGAGTGTACTCCGCCAACGGCTCTTTCTCATTAACGATGCAGGAGTTTTGCCGATTATGTCCGACGGTAATTAATTCGTCGAAGTATGAGTTCTTCGTTCCCGAATTACGCTTTTGAATCGAGTCGGTGTCCGGCATCTTCAAATACCTTCGCTTAGCGATCGAACGGGTTCGCGAGGTTCGTAGCGATCGCGAGACGCGGAAAGTTGAAGCGGTTGTTCGGCTAGGGTTGGTCAGGGTGATCGATAAACACCTGTAGAAAGCTTTGGTCGTCGACCGAGCGCGTAACAGGATCCTCGTAAAACGGGTGCGAGGGAAACGTCTCGTGATACTTGCTCCATGTTTTACGGAAGCAATGTTTATTTCAAACAAAGCTAAGGTTAACGTTTTCGCTAGCTTTACGATACGGAAATTCGTTTTTTAAGAGCGGGTGTAAAGAAGTTTAACGGTCCTGCGGTCTATTCGTAAGTCCTGTATTATTTAAAAAAAGCTTCTCGGCTTCTGGATCTTTCCAACCTTTTAACCTCGCGCGAGAAAGTGGAAGATTCTTTCGCGAAAGTATTCGATACTCGATCGATTCGCTAATCGGATCGCCATCAAATATTTAAGCTATCGTACGAGTTAATTCGCGGAAAATTTCGGTTAAAGCTGTTCGTGCCGGACCACCGCTGATAATAATCGAAAATCGAAGCTCGTCGACGTAAAATATACGCGAGAAGAGAATAGAGTGGGGATTGTTTAACGGATGGTGGTAAGTGGCGGGTCTGGTCACGAAGGAATGATGTCCCAGAGGAGCCATATAAGAGGAGCGATTTCTGAGACGGTGAAGTTGCGCCATTATTTACACGGCCTCCTTTTCAAATGAAACACCTTCTCGGAATCGCGGTTGTTCTCGACGGGACAGCAGTCTTCGACTTTATAAGGATTTACGAGCCGGGGCGAGATTGACTCACAGCCGGACAAGCGCCACGAAATCACGCTCGTCCGTCGTTTATATTGCCACAGGATTTCTTCTGTTTCGAAAACACACCGGAAGTGGCCGGACACCGAGCAAATATTGTCGCTTCGTACGGTTGCGCGCGGAAAAACAATTAATAAACGCTTGGTCGGAAAATGAGAAATTTTATGCTCGATTCCGTTATTTGTTCTATCGATTATGTCTTGGAAATGGACGATTAAACGGTAAATATTTGACGGTGCGTCGTTCGCGAGGCAACGCCGATCGACTGGTCTCGATTGATCTCGAACGAGTACCAATTAAATCGAGCGTTCGCAGCCAGGTGTAGTTAAAGAGGGCAACGTTGTTCGAGCTGCAGGAAAGTGGCTAACGCCCGTCTTGTTAGGGGAAACGGTTCGAAGGGCACGACCCCTTTACGGATCTCGCCGTTTCTTCTAATTAAGCCGAGGGGTTGCGATAGTTCCTCGAAAATCAATGAGTCGCAACGGTTCCGAATACCGAACAATCGCTCGCCTTTTATAGCCAATTTTCGAGCTGCGAAGGTTGCTTCCGCGATAACGCGTGTTAGACGTCGACGGTGTTGCGCGCTAATATTTGTTGACGCTATCGTATCGTGCACAAACATTTATGTACCAAAATTACAGATAATCCCTGGCGTTGTAACGCTTCGGCAAAAATTCTGTACATCGATTTAACAGGGATCGACACTTTTCCGAAAAAGCTTCGAGTTTTATCGACGTTATTATTAGATTCCGTGTACCTTTCGCTTCGTTAACGAGTTAACTCGTCTTTTCCGATTAACGGTTTAATTAGATGCCCGAGTTAACGAATTGCGCCAGGTTCAAAGAATTCACCGAACGTAAATTTGTAACGGTACCGCGTTCCGAAAAACGGCCGGAGACAATTAGCCGATGGAAGACAAAGTTTAATTAGATATTTCGTAATCGAGAGCGCGCTCTCTGTCTCTCCTCTTTCGATAATTCTCTCCGCGATTCTTTTTTCGTGCCGCGCGCGTTCGAATAGAAAACGCAGCGCAACTTTGCACTCGTTTCCGACGATTCTGACAATTCTCGAAATTAATTCTCGCGCTGATTAGATTACTCGGATAGGGAGGACCGTGCTTGCTTCCGGATAAACAATTAAACCGAAACTACTCGTCGATCGCGGTGCATTAACGATGCAGCTGTGGAACTTCGGTATTTTGTTCGGTTAAATCGAACGGCAAAATTACGCTTCTCGATGCGGAGTTAAATTGAACGGGCCAAACGAAACGCGTCGTTTTCCATTACACGTACCGCCTGCCAGAGAAGAGGGGTAGCGATTATACATATACGCGGTGGACCGGTGCAATGCAAATAAACGAGCCTCGCGCTGTATTTTATTCTTTTCCTTTGAACGCGTTAATTAAAAAATACACTGTCCTTTCAATTATCGTTGATCGAGGCAGCGAGTGGCAAAAAGAGTCGCGGAGGTATGCTTTAGTGGATGATTGATTATTGCGCGCGTATTTTTGCGCTCGAAAATTGTAG